CATCGAGTGAGAGACCAACATCGCTCTGGAGTACCGGTCGTGGGGATTCGAAAGAATACGTGTATATATGTATATTGTAATATATATATATATATATATGTATCATTGTATTGTTGACGTGTTATTCTAAACACGTTATTTGCGATAAATATCATCACATGCCTCGGTAGTCGAAAGGATAAGATGCCTGCCCGGTAAGCAGGAGATCCAGGTTCGATTCCTGGCTGAGGTGGTATTTTTTCGCAAAATAATTACGAGTTTTTCACGACTGGTTCGTGGTCGGGCCCCGCCGTGACGCACACCCTCCCTTCTTATTTGGGAGCTCATCGGCTTCGAAGCGATAAAATCATCAATGCATTTTCTCTTCAAATCTCACGAAATGTGTATCAGTCAAATGATGCTGCAGCGACCGAAATAGATAGTAATCGGAAGGCGCCATGTCTGGGCTATATGCCGCGTGCGAGAGAAGTTCCCAGCCTAACGCAAAGATATGGTCCTGAGTCGCTTTCGCAACATGTGGTCGAGCATTATCATGAAGCAAGATCACTTTACGACGTCCTTGGCCAGTAAATGGCCTCTTTTCTTCTAATGCATCGCTCAAATTGGTCAATTGTTGTTGGTAACGGTCTGCTGTGATTTCACCCGGTTGTAACAACTCGTAATACAACACATCTTTCCCAGATACAGAGCAAAACCTTCTTGGCGTGTATATTGGGCTTTGGCATCGATGTCGAAGGTTGATCAGGGTCACCCATGATTTTCTACGTTTAGGGTTATCATAAAGAATCCACTTTTCATCGCCTGTAATGATTTTGTGCAGAAAATCTTTTTTCCTTTGAACTTTGAAAGCAAAGTGAGTGCAGTGTCACGCCGACGATTTTTGTTGTCTTCGGACAATTCATGCAGAACCCATCTGCCTTCCTTCCTTTCTCATCGTATGTTAACGTATGGAAATGGTTTGCTGCGTAACGCCAAGCTGTTCTGCAAGCTCCTTTTCAGTTTGCGCAGAGTTTATATCCAGCAGTGCTTGCAATTCGTCTGTTTCAATCTTTTGAGGGCGCCCAGCACGCGGTTCATCTTCAAGATTGAAATTTCCTTGGCGAAATTTTTGATACCATCTTTTACATGTAGTATGACTTACAGCGTTCTCTTCATATGCAGCACAAATCATTGCAATGGTTTCAGCAGCATTTTTCTTCAGATGAAACGCGAAGTGGATGGAAAATCGAATATGCTCTTTTGTTATTGCCATCGTGAACACTACTGATTTTTGAGATTATGTGCATTAAACGCCAAACCGTATGGCATTTTAGAAGGCCAAATGTCAACGCTTTAAAACCGCAAAAGGGCGGGAAGATAAATAAAATTTAAATTGTTATTTCGGTTGTATGAAATCTAAAGCTCAGAACTTTTTGGACACCTAATATATAAATGAGAATATATATACATATATGTGTATACACACACACACACACACACACACACACACACACACACACACACACACACACACACACACACACTATTATTATATATATATATATATATATATATATATATATATTGTGATCCATCGCCCTTGAGGACAGTCTCTCGCAACGCAACTTATGGAAGGTTTGGCGCCAGGCACGAGCACGTACCACTTACTCGCTCGAAAATTGTAGCTGGATGTTACGCAATAAAATCCGGATTCGCGAAAAAAGATAATCCGGCAGCTCGGTTATAATTGACAGAGGGAGGGGAGGTTCACGGAACGAGGCACGAAAGAGTAGGAATCAAAGTCACACACATAGGTTGATTATCTTAAGGCAAGAACAGCTTTTCGGTCCGATAGATTACATCCGTCAATCATAAATTCTTGCGCCCGCGACCCGACAGCGTCGCCTAGTCACTCGAATCTTGCAACAGCGAAATTTTTGTCCCATGAGAATCACACACTAAACAGAATATCATAACGATACGATATCCCACTCAAAGGAACGCGCGGCAACAATATCGCCGATTCGATCATGCTTTCGCAGGCGGCAATCGAACTCACCATAAATACGTTAAACTGTTACAATTAGAGAGTTTTTACGCCACGCGGACGATATATTCGCGACGATATATTCGATATCGTATTCTTACAGAACCATACGCGCGGCAATTAAACACAATCCATACAAGTACTACAGTGCTGACTTTCCGCGGGTGACGAGGGCGAGAGAAGATATTATAAACGACTCGAAATCATATCTTGAGGAAGGCACGCGACCGGCTCGCGAGATGAACAATAGCGGTGACGCAATATTGTCGCGACCACGAGGAACGCTTCCCCGCGAAAGCTTCCCCGAACCAGACCCATGCGATATCTCAGATCCGCGGGCGAAATTGATGGCTTAATAATGATGACGTTCGCCTCACCAAACGACAACCTCTTTTTCCTCGTTCCTTCAGCTTCGATAACTCTTTTTGTGACTTGCGATATTGGTTTCTGCGTCCACTTACAATTACGCGCGAACGGAAAGTATCTCATCCTCGCGAACTCTCGCGACACCGTGATGGTTGTCATCCCCTCTCTGCGTATCGATCAGCCGCTAGATTTTTTTCGGCGCGGATCCTAGATGGTCCACGCTTCGCTGACCCCGCGGGAGATTCGAAGGCGATCCTTTACTCGGCCGAGTCTGCGACTTCCGAGGATCTTTTTCCGGTACATCGATCCTTCCGGTGAGAAGTGGCTGTCTCTCCCAGCTCGAGTACTCAT